AAGGTGCCACATAAATGGATGGGAAATAGGGGAAAGGCAGAGCTGAGGCTTCCTTTGGGCAGGTCCTGCTCCTGGCGTGGAGGATCCATTCAGTTGTTGCTGCTCCAGGTCCACTGGTTTTAGCTGTTTGGATTTTTGGTTTTTACACTTTCCCCAGCAGCAGTTGGTCCCAGCCCTTTGTGTCTTGGCATGTTTTTCATTAGGGTGCCTCTCTCTGGCTGGGTTTTGTTTGCAGTTGGACAGGGTGCCTCCAATGAGCCCTTTGGACAGCAGGGATGCTGAGCCAGGTCCAGGGCACTCCAGGAGCATCCATCTCTGGCAGGCTGAGCCCGTGCTGGGCAGCTGACATGGGATGGGATTTGGTGGTTTTGGCACCTGCTCTGGTGGAGTTTCAAAGCAAGCAAGCTGTAGGGTTGAGGATTAGTGTGAGTTAGCAGAGTAGGAACAGTATCTGTTGGGGTTTTAGCAGCCCYGCTGCCTGCTAATGCCCTTGAACCACAAACTGTGATAAATTTCTTCCCTACTCATGTCTTGAAATTGCAAAACATAACTCTAAGGACACCTTAGCCTGGTCTAAGACTACTCTTTCCCCTCTCCCATTTGCTCTTAGTGCGAATTTTAAATTTACTGTGTAATTTTAGTGCTTCCTGGTGCCAGCCAGGTCTTCTCCCTTGGCTGTGAACATCTGTGGYGAGGACACTTTGTTATATGAAAGGGGAACCTGGACAGAATGAAAAGCAAGGCTCTGTTGTTTTTGAAAATGATCCATTGAGAAGCTCGAGTGTGCTGGTCAGGCTGATGGAGCTCAGGGTGCTGCCCCATCTACTCAGGAGCTTCCAATGGGCTGCAGGTGCTGGCAGCTTTGTCACAAGCTGGCAAATGGCTTTGGAAGAAGTTGGAAATCAGATATTTAATAGTTGCACTGAAGTAGCAGAGCGCTGATATTTGGTGCTTTCAGATACTTTGTGTTCTCTGTGATGCCATCCTCTCTGTTGGATTGGAAGGATCTGTCTGTGATTTGCAGGGTGYTGTCCCCTGGCCTGGGTGCCTGGCAGGGCTTTGGGGTGGCAGGGTCCTGTGCTGCCCATGGCAGGAGTGGGGTGGCTCCATGGTCCCCCTGCACAGCTCTGSTTCCCCACCACTGTCACTGTCATTGTCACAGCTCCCCTGGTCCCTCTCCACTACCATCAGCACTGTGCTGTCATCGAGCCCCCCTGACACGAGCTTGTGACATCTCATTCTGCTTTAAATTAAACCCCCAGCGAGCCCAGCTGGCTTCCCAGCACCCTGTGTGTCATCTCGAGGAGTCTGTGATGTGAAACTGTCTGCTTTGCTGTTCGTGATTTTAGCTGAGATTTTTAAATAGCAAGGGTAGACACTTTTGGTTTTTTAAGTGCTAAATCTGTGCACACCAGCGGGGTGGTGAGACATTTTACATGGACAGAAGAGTGAATATAAGGGAGGGTACAGTTCCCATTGTCCCCCTTGCAGTGAATAAACCCAAAGCTGAAGGCTTCTCCAGGTCATGACTAGGAGGAGATGTGTAGATGATAGATTCTATTCCTAATAACTTGAAGTGCTGGATRAAGATATATTCTCCTTCAAGAAGGAAAAATGACCTAGCACAGGCTGTGCACACAGGCAGCAGCTTGTGTGCCCAGGACAGGAGTGCAGTGACCTGTCCTGGCAGGGTGCAGGATGGGCTGTGGTCCTGGCAGCTGATGGTTGAGCAAACGTGTGTTTCAGGCTCGGTGTGGCCTTGGTTTTGCTCAATGACCCTTCTTCTTCATTCTTTGTGCTTTGGCTGGGGCAGAGAAGTGAATTTTTGGGGTTCCAGCTGCCTTATTTCCATCGAACAGCACGGTGCACTGAGGAGCTCAGAGCTATTAATACAAATATTGCAGTTATTTTGAACTAAAGCAGTTTTTCCCCTTTGTGGCTGCCCTGACAGTGTGCTGGGGAGGAGAAGAGGGTCGGSACCCGCACGGTGGTGGTGGGGCACCGGCCCGTGGCTGACACTGAGGCGTACGTGGCACAGAAATTCTGCGACAACAGGATCGTCTCGTCCAAGGTGAGCATCGTGTGGGTGATGTCCTGCTCGTGTACTTGCTCTGCTTKGATTTGGGGCTGGATTTAGACACTCAGAGACTCTGAATTCCCCAAGGGTGGGTGTAAGGGTCCCTTGGCAAGTGGAGCAGCCTGGTACAGCCCTTGTACACACAGTTTGTCTCTCCCTTAGTCTCTTTTTTTTTTCTGTTTTTATTTTTTATTTTCAATCCTACCAATGCCAGTGAGAGCATGTACAAGTTCCTTTTGTGTAGGCTGCACGAGTGCAAAGTGCATGGACACGTTGATTTTGTGGGTTGGAGTTCTTTTAGTATGTCCTGTAAAGTTTTCTGGCATTCCCTTTGGGAAGAAAAGATGGGTTAGGTATAACACAGCATGAGTAACAGCAACTGAGATTTGCAAAAGGGAGTGGGATTATTTTATAAATGGATGTAAAAATATGATTCTCACTCGATTTTGGTGCTGTGGGATTTTTCCCTCTTGAGATAGGACAGAAATAACCATCCTCTGTTTACCCCTTTGGATGAAAGGGGGGAAACATTTGTATGGTATTAATGCAGCTTTTGTTTATGGTGGAAARCTGTGATGACACCCATCTGCCTTCTGCTTAGCTTTTTTTCCATGACATTCATGAAGCTATTTCAAAAGATTTGAAGCCAATTCGAGTAAAATATCAAACAAGTGGCATTCCATGTTGTCAACACAGCTGGATACGTATCCCAGTGCTCAGGATTCAGGATGCTCAGCATACATTTAAGCTTCAGTTTTGCTGTACTTGAGCTGTAAGGGGATTTTTCTCTTTCCTTTATATGTCTTGGRTCTTGTCTGTTTTTATATGTCTGAGTTTATTTTTGGGAAAAGTTCTAAGTCTCTCCATGTTTAACTTGAGCAGCWTTCCCATTGACGTTTCCCTGGCATGCAGGAGGGTCCTTCACTGAGGACACCTTCCCACGTCTCAGTTCCCTCTCTGATAAATGCTTTAGCACTAATTTTAGTTCTTCCTTGATTTATTTTGAATGTTGTGTCCTTGCTCTTTTTTTTTCCATTTATATTTGCTAGGCATGGGATGTGAGCATTCTTTTTTGTAAATAAATGGTCATTGGTCTTGAGACTTGGCTGCTTGTTCTTTTTTATTCCAGAAAGACTGAAAGATGGATGTTAGACTCATTATTTTCCATGTTGTTCTTAAATTTAATGTTTTCCAAAGTAAATGATTCAGCAGCCTTCTGCAAATTGTAGTGAAGCACAACCTAATACTGAATTTGTATGGGTAGCATGGTTTGTTTTTGGTTTGGTTTTTTTTTTTTTTTTTCCACAAAAGCAGCTCTAAGGTGATTTTGGGAATTTGGAAAAAAAATCTGTCCACTGTGCATTATATTGTAATGAAATCACGTGTCCTCAAATGCCTTTCTAGAAGTTGTCTGTGAGACCCTTCCAGCTTTTCAGTGCTCCAGCAGAGAGAAGTGGAGCTGGAAGATGAAGCAGGAGCTCGGTGACATCTCTGCATCCCCTGCACTGTGCTCTGGGGTCAGATCCAGGAGCTGCAGCTCTGCCTGGAGCCCCCAGKGCTGCTCATTCTCCTCCTGGCCCCATTGAAGGAGAGCCCTTTCCCCTTTGGTGAACAGTTCCCTTTTTGTAGCTCTGCTCCTGTCAGCCACGTGCCCTGCTCTGGTTGTGAGTCCCTCTCTCTCCCCACAGTACACCCTCTGGAACTTCCTCCCCAAGAACCTTTTTGAGCAGTTTAGAAGAATTGCCAACTTCTACTTCCTCATCATCTTCCTCGTGCAGGTAAGAGCTTTCTTGATGCTAAGAGTGGGTTTTATTGAGGCACTGATGCTAAAAGCAGCTTGGACAAGAACTGAGCTTTAAAACTGTGTGTTTTTATAAGTGATTTGGAATTTTTTGAGTTGGAAGCTGTGTTATAATTCTGCCACACTATCCAAGGCATAAAATAATTAAAATATCTGCATCTGTCTGMGATGGGGTTTGAATGACTGCAGAAATATTGAAAAAACACCTTAATCTAACTGTTAAGATCATTCAACCACTGAAAATGCACGTGATGCTGCACAATTAAGATCTATTTTTTGTCACCATTACTATTTCTGTTGCATAACTCTGTATTTCMCCAAGTGATATGATATTTTAATGTCTCATACCGTGAGTTTCAAGGCAAGCARGAGAGATAGGATGTACTCAGTAAAATTCAGAAAATGTGTAGAATGAGTTTTGGAAACCTAAAGCTTCAGGAAGTTGCTCTGCTTGGAAAAAACAGCAAATTTATTGCATGCACAAACTTTTCCTGCTCTGCTTTGTGGCTCGAGTTAAGGGGCAAATCCTGAGGAAGACTGAACACTCATTTTCTGTTCTGTCATCCAAGAAAAGCAAGGTGTCAAAATGCACTGGGGCAGAGGGAGTTTGGGAGAATCCCTGCAGTGCCTTTAGTCACCTTTGAGCTCCTCAGGCGTGGGGTTCAGCAGCTCTGGGGCTGGAAATGGGGCAGAGCTCCAGCCCAGCCCTGTGGCTGCTGTTTGTCACTGTTGGCCAGACTGCAGACACAAAATAACAGACACAAAATCACACATACACACACACACAAAGTAATCCCTTTATTCTGAGACAGGCTCCTTTTATCCTCTTTAGCAAATAATGTATACATTTGTGTCAAACATACATTGGTCAGTGAGGCTGTCRCTTTTYACTTATCAGCATATGATTGGTAGGTTTGCAAAAGCTRCAGTATTAATAATATTTATAATTATAAGCCACCTGTGTTRTTAATTCTACATTTCAATCTCTTTTTCTCAAAACAGCTAAAAACATAGCATTTTTCTCCCATACAAACCATTAACACTCCTCTACAGCTGTTGGGTGCCTCCTGCAGGTTCAGGGCTGGGGTGTTGCTCTCTCCTCGGCTGTTTGTGTAAAAGATGAGTGTCTCAAATGTCCTCAGAGTGAAGGGTTGTGATTTGCAGCACTGTGGTGGCCGCTGCAGGAGCAGGGATCCCTGGMTCCAGCCGTGTGTGGCTCCTCCTGGCAGTGTGACATGAAAGGCCAATTTACTCCGCCGTCAGCTGGCTCGCCTCCATCTCTTCATTTTGCTGGCGTTGCTCCATTTTGTCAGACCCAATTTGTAATTTGCCTTGAACTGAAGCGATACCCTGGAGTCAGGATGTCCTTTTTGTGTAGCTGGCCACTTAGTGACGTGCTATTACATTTTATCTATTGACCCTCTGGCCACGGAGAATATGGAATATTCTTGATTATACTTACAGAACGGGTCTCAGGATAGCTCCTTGCCCATTTTAGTGCAGGTGTGTGCAGGTGAGAGAAGAGCCTGGCTCTTCCTCCTTGTTTTTATTCTGTAAGCACTTCTAAAATCAGGAAGCAGCCCTCACAATCTATTAGAGAAAAAACAAACCCAAGTGAGCAAAAGCCAGGCTGACAGCACTGATKCACCTGCCCCAGTGTTCTTCATTCTGGAGATGGCACTTGCCTTAAAAAGGCACTCAGGGCCACTCCATTCATGTTAAATACCAAGGGTTATACCTTGAAGAATGCCATCTATAGCTTAAATTAAATGTTCATGCTTATCTTTAAGTGTCTCCAAATTAAGGGGGTTGTCCTGCCTGGTTGCTGTGTGAGGAGTGAAGTGTCACAGCTCAGGGAATTGTCTGATGCCTCTGCTCCACCTGTGGTGAATGAAACGCTTTATCAAAACATGTCTTGCTGTGTGACTCCAAACTCAGCTCTTTGTAAGACAAAATACATGCATTAAACATGAAACACGCTGCACACAAATAAACAGGGACACAAAGAGCTGTTCCTTTGGCTCACCTGTTGCAGCATCACAGGAATCTGCTGGGGCTGGTCTGTGGAGCTCAGTCTGAGTGTTTACAAACAATAAGCTGGTTTAGGAGGCAGCAGGAATGAAAAGTGACCCTTTGGGGAGGAAAGCAGAGAGAACTTTTGGAATGTGCTCCTTAGTCTCCTAAGGAATCTCGTAAGAATAAACTATTAAGTAACAGGAGGACTCTGTCACTTTTAAATGGATCCAAATTAAGCTGCTGAAGTCCTAAATCAGTTCAAAAATAGTTTCAGAGCAGTCTGCCTTTGTTCTGGCTTGTTGCTCGTGTGTCCCTCAGCTTTTCACCAGCCACAAAGGGCAAGAGTAGTGTCCAGCCACAGGATTTTTGCAGAGAAACCAAACTCTAAATACATACGTGAATTATTGCAGGCACTAAATCTGGTATTTGTGTTCCTGTATCTGTAATCTGTGTGGACAGAAATGGTATTGTTTTTGTACATAAATRCATACAACTGCATCTTGTCCAGAGCAGAAAACTCTCCTGTTGGGTAGCAGGAGAGCCTCTACTTGCTCTTCTCAGCAGAAAGCCTAAGTTCTGTTTGGATTTCCAAGACCTGTCCAATTTTTGCAGGATAATTCTGGCTGACTGGCCTAAGTTTCATGAGATACCCCAGTGAGTGGCTGTCACACGTGCAGTGTTTGTGTGACACTTGGCACTGCCCTCACTTGAGGCTGCTCCTCCAAAGTCTGGTTTCTACCAGACCTTCTGCTTGGAAAGCTTTTACACCCATTTGAGTGAGCCAGGCCTTTGTGTGCCTGCAAATATTKTTGGTGTTTATCGTGATTTACCCTCCTGCTGCTTAACTCATGCCTTTTTCTGGCTGTTTCTTGTGTATCTCTTCCACTTCAGCATCTCCTGGTTTTTCTCTCTGGGCTCAGCAGTGCRGGGTAATATTGCAGTGTGCAGCATTTCACAGTCAAAAATGTCCACGTAGCTGATGAGAGGAGTCCTGTCCTTARCACAGCTTTTTACAGGCAGCCTGAAACAATAAATATACAGATAGTGCTGTGTTGTGAGCGTGCCAGGGAAGCACAAACAAGGGACAAAGCCCCTTTGTGGGGACACAAAGCCTTTCTGCTGAGCTTCCCCATCCCTTTATCCCAGCCCTCATCATCTGCCTCTCGTGCTCCCATTCCCTCCAGGAACAGCAGGAAAAATGGGCAATTTGTGGTGCACTGGTTTGGGAGGTGGAAGGTGTTCCCTCCCACAGTGACCCTGTTCTGCCACTCTGCCCCTTTGGGCTCAGGAAGGTTCCAGCACTRCCCCAAGGTGCCTAAATCATGCTCTGAGCTCCAATCTGAGAGCTTAAAGACAAAGCCTGGCTTTCTGTTTTACTTAAATATTCATGTTCTGTTCTGCAGTGTATTTCATAGGTAATTTGGGCTGAGGGGGGTTATTTTTAGCCTCCCAAGTGTCAGTGGTTCAGGGTGACTGGCACTGCCCTCCCTTTCAGAACCAGCCCTTCCTCCCCTTTCTCCTCTGCTGGGCTCTGACTTGCCCCAGTGGGATAAGAACTTTCCCCCCACCATTACCAGAATTTGGTTTCTTCTGCTGCCTAAAATCCAGGGCTCAGCAATGCATTTTCTCTCTGCAGGTGATAGTGGACACCCCAACCAGCCCGGTGACCAGTGGCCTCCCGCTCTTCTTTGTCATCACTGTCACAGCCATCAAACAGGTACAGRTGSCAGTGTGGGGGGAAGRWGCTCTTTGGGGCACGTAGAGAAAAKGATGAACATTATTTAAATATGCTCAGAATTATATTCTGGTATGTTTGGTGAACCCTTCTTAGAGGGTGGGACATGCACCGGTGCTTTTCAAGAGAGGCTGCATTTTGCATTTGCATTTTTGTGGTTCTTGGTGTCTCCTGTTTTGGCCACATAAAATGGTGTTGAAGGCAGGCCTTGAGGGTCAGTGAAGCTCACTGCTGTAGTTCTGGTGTTTCTCGAATTTTTTTCTCTTTTTAGAAATGCTCTCTCTGAGTCCTTGCAGAGACGTGCTCCAAATATAGCCCACGCTCTGCTCCCATGTTGGTAGGTGGAAAGGACAGGTTCTGTTCTACCACTCAGCTGAAAACATGTAGTTCTCTTCTTCCTGCAGTGTTAAAAGACCTTTTGTCTCCCATCACAGACCCAAGTGCCATTTATTGCTCAATCAGGAAATTTTAAAAGAAGGTTTTCTACAGGGGCTGGAAAGGGAGAGCTAGAATGAAATCTATCTGCTTCAAATCTCAGTATTTTATTCTTCCAGTGAGGACTGAAAAGGAAGAGTCTCATCCTGCGTTACCATAGGAAAGAGTTGCAGGCTGCTGAGTGTATTATTCCTGTTACCACTCTGTTCTTTCCAATGCTGAGGATAATAGAAACGTGCTACAGTAGTTCAGCTGCTTGTTGCATGCCCTGCATATAGATTATTTTTAATGTGGTATTTTAATCTGTACTGAATCTGTCAAATATGCATATGAAGTTTTTAAAATAAATTGATTCTGTCTGAGCTGCACTGGTTGATGTTCTGCCAGGCATGAAGGAGGTCTGAGGACTGGCTGCCTGATTCATTGTTTTAATGTGTCCCTCTCCACCCTCACTCTTCCTTTGCCATTCGTTTGCTTCATTACAACTTTGTGTTGCCTGTGTTTGTGTGCCTTAGGGCTACGAGGACTGGYTGAGGCACAGAGCTGACAACGAAGTGAACAAAAGCAACGTCTTTGTTGTTGAAAATGCAAAGCAAGTTCGGAAAGAGAGTGAAAAAATCAAGGTAAGTGTTAAGAGAGAGCTTTCATGTGGTGATGGGAGCACAGAGGTGTGTGGGGAGGGGACAGGGCAGGGCAGSAGGGAGGTGCTGGCTTTCAGCTGCCCCAGTGCTCACTCTGGGGTGAGATGCTCTGAGCTCCTCCCAGTTAAGGAGTGAAGCTGCCTTTGATTGCTTTTGAAAAGCTGTCTCACAAAAGCTGTACCGGGGCTGACAAGTGACAGATCTGTCAGCATTCTSCACTTCTCCAGGACAGGCAGTCCTCTTCTATTTCCAACTCTCCCAAGGACACCAGGAAAGCACACTTAGCTTTGACATTAATTTATCACACCACACTTCAGGCAAGTGCAGCCTCTTGCTCCATCAAGATTTAGCAGAGAAATAAATACAAACTGTGCCACGTGGGTGCTCGGAGTCAGTGCTGGGCTGGATCACCCCATTGGGCTGTGGATGATGCTCAGGGATCCATGCACACTTTGGACCCCAGGTTACCTTTTGGCCAAAATGATCTCTTCTAGGCTTTGAGAGAAGCTAAATCATAACCATTTAGCAACAATTGAGAGGACTTTTCCTGTAAATGTTTCCYTTMTTCTAGGTTGGAGACATAGTAGAAGTGAAAGCAGATGAGACCTTCCCCTGTGATTTGATCTTTCTGGCCTCCAGCAGCATTGATGGGACCTGCTACGTCACCACAGCGAGCCTGGATGGAGAGTCCAATTTCAAGGTGATGGGGATGGCWGGGGCAGCGTGTGGGAGTGGGGCTGGGGGCTGGAGATGCTCTGCTTGTGTGGGGAGTGTGCTATGGGTAAACCCAGCCCTGTGCCTGGCTCCTGAGCAGCTCTCCTCCTGTGTGCTTGCAGTGTGTCAGCAGTGCGGCCCCGGGGGATTGTTTGTGCTCTGTTTTGTCTCTGAGGGCCATTTGTGCTGGCTGTGCCCCAAATTGGATTGCTGTTGATCGATCCAGCTGGGCTGCCCTGTGCCCATCACAGTGGGTGTCAGCTCTGCCCTGCTCCAGCCGCTCTTTGAGCTGTGGTGCATCAGTGGAGCAGTGCCTGCAGCTCTCCAGCTCCTTCCCAGGACCTGCCATCCCTCCCATTCCTCACCCTGGCATTTCCAGGGAGATCAGGGACTTCTTTGAAGCAGCATGTCTAGATTCRTTTGGGGAATTTTTCACCAGTGTGAGAAAAGCATCGCTTCTGGGATTTTCTCTCCCTTTCCCTGAAGCAAGTGGTGAAATTTAATACTGGTTTTGCTCAGGATGAATATCTTCAGTTTATTTTCTTTCTTTCTCTGTCTCCCCTTCTCTAACCTAGGGAAAAAAGCAACAACAAAAAACTTRCATACGTCAGAAGCCATGAACATTTGGTTGCACTTGAGTTTGATAAATATTTATGCAGATACTAGCAGCTGCAGTAGTAAGAGTGGAAGATAGTTTGAAATGACATGATTCATTCCAGGATACTCTGAAGTCATTGGGAATACCACTGAGGATCTGATATGTGTTATCTGGGATTTGTGGCTCATCTCTAAGGGCATCTGTGAGTGGTTCTGGCTGACCTGTGTGGAGCTGGTGCAGTGCTGCTGCACAGTCCTGGTTCCTCCAGTGAGGAGGAGTCGGAGCTTTGAAGTGGCTTGAGSCTAAAAATAGCTCCCCATGTTCAAAGGCTATTGCTGATTTGTGYCAGGTGTATTATCTGCATGAGTTCACATCACTTCTGCAGAGYCTTGGCTCTTCCCAACTGTGAGTCTGGAGATGCAGTGCTGAGTTTCTGTATCCAGCACTGTGTTTGTTCGTGGTTGTGGATTCCTGTAGGTGACTGGGAGCTGTCTCCTGTTTCATGATAGGTGAAGAGGAGTTTGAAGGGGAAGAGGGAATAGAAAAGCCAGCTCTGTTTGGGGAAATGGATCTAACATTAGGAACCAGGGTTTGCTGCTAAAGGAGGGTGAGGGAAGCACGTTTGGGTCATCACCAAACCTCATCTGCAGGGATATCTGCTGCCTTCCTGGTGGGGATTTTTCTGGTGTTTGRGGCATGTTGGGTTGAGTGAATGTGCCTGATTTAGTGAAACTCGAGCAGAACTGTAAAAGAGATTTTGTCAGGGCTCTGTCTTTGAAGCACAAATCTTTGGCCATAGGTTGGCTAAAGGAACACGTGTTTTCTAAATACTCTGAAGGATGTAAAGATCGTGGCATTGATTGGGAAGCGCCTTTGAAGCATCACTCAGTAATTGCAGGGCATCTCTGCTGATGGGAACAGCAGATGAAAAACCCCACCCAAGCACTGGGTTTGGTGCTGGGCACTGCAGGAACAGCTTTGAGGTGTTTCACAAGAGCTGGGGTCTGTGCTGGAGATCCATCTGTGTTTGTGTTTCCCATAGGAAGAGCCAGGCAGGTTCCCAAGGCAGCAGCAGGGTGGGAGTTTCTCAGCCCCAGCTGAGTGTGTGTAGCATGGTGCTGCTCCTGGGATGAGCAGGGAAGGGGCACAAGCGTGAGGAGTGCAGGGAACATTTTAATGAATTTGTTTGTGAGGATGGGGTGAGGCAGCCTGCCGTGAGCCGCCGTGGCTGGGAGCTCGGAGTAGCTCCTATAAATAGAGCCTGAAAGGCAGCGAGCAGATCCTTTGTGGGCTTTTCAGTTAATTATGAGAGATGAACCTTTGCAGCAGCAGCTGCTAAAAATAGCTGGGAGTCTGCCAGCRCTGTGCTGCTCCCTGGGTGCTGGAGCTGCTGTCTGGTTCTGTCAGGAGCCAGGAGAGGTGCTCCCCAAGAACCCCTTGTCCACAGGGCCACCTGCAGCCTCCCCTCCATCCCAACCAGGATAAATCCCAGGGTGAAATCAGGGATGCTGTGCTTTGGTGGATGCTTTACTGGGAGACACTCGGCAGCTCCTCTCTGCTGTGGTTTCTCTTGAGCTTTACAGACGTCATTCTTTCACTGAGAGATGCTCCAGCTGCTGTGTGGGAGCATGGTGAGGGCTCAGCAGAGCTGCTGGGGCTCATAAGTTGTACATAGTGGCATTTATATAATGGGGTACAAACCCTGGGGGTGGCATTGTTGCTGGGGGCTCGTGGTGACACTGCCTGTGCTCCTGTCCCAGACCCACTATGCAGTGCGGGACACCACCGTGCTCTGCACCGACGAGGCCATCGACACCCTCACAGCCACCATCGAGTGTGAGCAGCCACAGCCTGACCTCTACAAGTGAGTCTGTCTGTCCTGTATCCCCCCAGCCCTGTCCCACATCCCTCCTGCCCCAGCCCCGTCCCGCATCCCATCCCGTGGATCCCCATCCCATGGATCCCATCCCATCCCACATTCCCCCACCCCACAGCTGTCTGGTGTCACCTCTGTGCAGACACCCCAGCCCCATCCCATGGGGCATCTCCAGTTCAGCAAAGCAACACCCTCTTCCTTCCTTCCATCAGAGACCAAAAGGTGTCTCGAGGTGGTGATAAGCTCCTGGCC